GGTGAGCTTGAACTGCTCTTGCAGTCCAGCGCATTAACCCACAGTGCCACATCAGGACTCCAGAAATAACATTAGCCCATGCTGATGGCCTTGTCCAGTGAGGAGATGCTGATGTGAAGGATGACTGACTGGGAGGTAGCTGGAACTAGGGTTGGTGCCAAGCCCCGGCAGTACAAAGGTTAAACACCTGACTATAAACCAGCCAAAAGGTTGGCAGTTTGAACCCACCCACCACTCAGCAAGAGAAAAAGACCTGGCAACCTCCTCCTATAATTTAGAGCCTAGGAACCCTATGAGGCAGTTAGTTCTACTGGGTCCTGTATGGTTTCTATAGGGTCACTGTGAGTCCAAGCCAACTTGAAAGTGCACAAAACCAGGTGAGGAATTGGATGGGGAAGGAAGTGGGTAAGGAAGAAGAAAAATCAAGAATAGCTCCTAAACTTCCACCATGGGAAATGGAAAGACTGGGGTGAGCTCATAGTGTTCCCACCTCTCAAACACCCTCCCCCACTCATGATCCCGGAGTCTGGCTAACTTCTGTTCACCCTCAGATCTCTATTCAAGCGTCACTTCTTCAGAGCCACCCTTCTTGACCCCAGAGCGAGGTCAGAGGCTTGGTTTTCTTCTCTCAGAGAACCATTTTCCTTTGTGTGTTTACACAGAACCTACCCTCCAGACTATATTCTGTGAGCACATCCTTGCATCCCCAAAACCAAAGCCAAACCCAGTCTATCCAGCCGACTCTCACTCAGAGTTAGAATCTATGACCCCAAACCCGAACCTCCAGCCACAGAGTCAATTCCGAGTCACACTGACCCTACATACTGTTTCCAAGACTGTAAATCTGTAGGGAAGCAGCCAGCCTCATCTTTCTTCCAGAGAGCTACTAATGGGTTTGAACTGCCCACCTTTCAGTTAGCAATCCAGTGCTTATCTATAGCACCACCAGGGCTTCTTAGTAGAAATGCTCCATAGTGTTTCCAAGGCTATAAATTCACAAACACAGATTGCCTCATCTTCCTCCCACAGCTTGATGGGTTCAAAACGATTGACCTTTTGGGTAGCAGCCCAGTGCTTAACCTACTGTACCACCAGGGTGTTTTATCTAGCATTCCTAGTGCCTAGCACATAACACCATGCCATACTTTGTTGTTATGTGCCGTGGAGTCAGTTCCGACCCATAGCGACCCTGTACAGGGTTTTTAAGGCTGTAAATCTTTACGGGAGCAGAACGCCTCATCTTTCTCCCATGGAAAAGCTGGTAGTTTTGAACTGCCGACCTTGAGATTCGCAGCCCGATTCGTAACCACTATGCTACCAGCGCTCCTTGTGCCATCAATTTGATTCTGACTCATATGGCTGCTGTTACAGTTGTTAAGTGCCATTGAGTCCATTCTAACTTATAGCAATCCTGTGTAGGATTCCCAAGGAGCAGTTGGTAGGTTTGAACTGCCAACCTTGTGGTTCACAGTCCAGTGCTGATCCAATAGCAACACACGAGGAGTCATAGAGTAGTTGTTGTTGCCAAGTGCCATCGAGTCAGTTCCAACTCACAGCAACCCTGTATAGGGGCAGCTGGTGAGCTTGAACAGCCTCCCTTGTGGTTCAAATCAATTTTGCAGTCCAGCTCATTAATCCACACTGCCACACCAAGATTCTGGAGTCATATAGTAAGTGTTCAATAAATAAAAGTTCTAAAAGTCAAGTAGAGGAAACTAGATTGGTATTTTCCAACTGGAGAAGGAGATTGCTGGGTTTCGACATAGGAAAATTCTACCATTCCCCAGCCACTCCAAAGTTTGGAAGGGGTCCTCACAGTGTCACACACTTGAGGTGGAAAAGAGCTGGTAACCCTGGCTGCAAGCAGGGGCCCACTGGAGCTTATGGAGCATGCGTGGATGGGAGCAGGGCTGAACCTGTGAACTTGGAGTTCACAGTGGCAGAGGGCTCTCTCAGAGATGCTCTTCACACCAGAGGTGTAGGGTGATCAAGTGTGGTTCTTGCCACAGAGCCCTTCCCACCAGCTTTGAAGAAGTAAATATTCCCCACAATCCACTGCAGTGTGGTTAGCTCATTTGTTTGTTGCCTTGATCACAGCTGTGTCCAGAAAGGTGCCTGGCACACAACAGAGGCGCCAAAAGGATCTGTTAGTTTTTGAATAAAAAGGAGGGAAGGAGCAAATGTTCTCAAAATGCTGGGTGAGCTGTAGGGGGAGGAGGATTACTATTCCCTTGTGGGAAAGGGCGCTGTGTGGATTAAACAAGGTAATGTATATTCTAGTCCTGGCACAGGGAAACGGCTAATCAACTCCGGGCCAACATCTAGAGAAACTGAGCAGAATGGAGGAAACCAGGGACAATCAGTCAGGGGCCTTCTGGGAACACCCCCATGGGAAACCTTCAGGTTTCTTCCCGGAACCCCCACCTGGCCCCCACTGCACAGCTGACAGCCAGTCCCACCCTCCCAGCAGGCAGGAATTTGTCCGTGACCTTCCCAGGCACACTCATGTCACCATGGCGACAGGCCTCTGGAACAAACAGCCTGATTGTCCCTGCTCAGCAGGGCAGGTGAAACCCCGGCGGCCACGTGACCGATACTGGGCCAGGTGCAGCTGCCTCCCAGCCTTAACCCATTCAATGCCGCCCTGACGGCAACAGGGTGTAGTGTCCATGTGACCACAGACCCTTGGGTGCTCAGAGTTCCCCTCCAGAAGGGCTGTGATGAAAAAAAAACAGAGCACTTCAACAGGACTCTCGCTGCTGGGAAGGAATCCAGGATGGGCCACACAGTGGCTAAGCGATGGGGAGCGGGTTACTTCATAGCTGTTTCTTTACCAGTAAAATCAAGGTAATACCGCCCACTTCACTGGACGGCGGTGGCTGGCAGCTGTGAAGATGGAACAGGAGGGCAGGTAACATCCTTGTGGAGGTGGAGCTGCTTCCACACCCACCTCACATTCCTAACAAGCCTGGGAGGGGTGGGCGGCCCCCATATGGCCCTCCCCAGCCTGCCATCACCAGGCCTTCCAAGGTAGCAACAACCCCTCCTCTGCTACCCTGTGAAGTGCTCAAGGAGAAACCTCATGCAGACTGGTTTTTCTGCTTGGCAGCCCTCCCCTCTCATGACATGGCTGGGGTCCAAATGTCTCTGGGCTGCTTCTGCCCCCACACTCAGAACTCTCTGGTTCGTTGGCCCGTGTTCAAGGGTCGTGGGCCAGACTCAGGTTACCTGGCTAAATCCTAGGCTGGTGGGGAGGGGCAGCTGTTTGAAATCACTTTTGAAGTCACTGAGATTATAAACGTCTTCACCTTCATCAGCCAACTCTAGGAAAACCTCCCTTCTTGGTCATCTCTTCCAAGAACCACCCCCCATGAAGAGCTCAGATGTCTTCACCACTCACCTAATGAGTATGCTGGCATCCAGGGATCATACCATCTGGTGTGTTTAGACTTCCCAGTGACCTAAAGCCCTCTTCAGATTAGAACAAAACACATGGCAAACTCCCAGGCTAACCCAAGATGTGGACCATTTTCTTAAACAATGAGATGGAGCCTTTAAGACATATCATGTGGGTCTTCAACTTCAATAGGCCAGCTCAAAGGAGGTGGGGAGGGGCAGGTGCAACCCTAGCTGGCCCAGATGTCATCTCCTGGAAGGGGCACTTAGCCCAGCCCCCAGTTAAACTGTGAATCGTCACCTAAGCCTCAGCTAGTGCCCTGATATTCTCAATGGTAATTCAGTAAAATTACTATAGCCCTTTGTACCAAAATCAGCAAAACCTCCAAGCCCAGGTCTCAAGGAGTCCCCAGTCTATGGTGGACACGACAAGGCCAACTGGATACTACATAGTTGACAGATGCTTTGAGACTATGGAGCAGAAGTGATTGATTTCAACTGGGGAAATGTGGGAAGGGTTAGAGGATGCAGTTGTACTGGACAGTAAAAGATGTTTAGAACTGAGGCAACTAAATATCTGGAAGACAGCACAGCATCCTCAACAGGGGGAGTGGTGGCGAAAAAGGCAGAAAGGAAGGTGTGTTACTGGTGGTTCACACCTAGGGTCAGACTGGCGGGGAGGGGCTTGGAAAGCTATGATGAAGTTTCAACAGGGGACACCAGCTATAATACCTGAGATAATGCCATCCCAGCCACCACTACCCAAGGCTAGGGAGAGAGATGGCAGCGGATCAAGGTACAAGAAAGGCCATTTCCGAACAGGTTTGCTGAGCTTTGAGTGTGGGAGTTCATTTCTCTGCAGGTAAACGTAGTGTGTAGGCGAGGTGGGTGGCGCAGATCTGAGCTATTTTCAGGTCTGTCTGGAAAGTCTCCCTCTTTGACTCGCACTGGGAGCAGACCAGACTTGACCAGAGTTATACATAAGTCTAGCTCTGCTTCTTGGGCAAGTCACTGACCCTCTCTACCCCTTAGTTTACCCACCCATAGAGGGAAATTTGGAAATGGTTATCTAGAGAAGGAGCCTGGGCCCTGGGTTGGCGCCGGAAAAACGAGAGCAACTCCAGCGCCTCCTCGCGCCCGGAGCACAAAAAGGATGGCACTCTCCCAAGTCGGCGCGTGTGGGAAAGGGGGCAGGACCAGGCCGCCTCCGCCACACAGAGTGGCGGAATCTCCGCAGGAACAACCTGTAACCAGAAGGTCTGCCCCGACTCCCAACAGGATTTTGCCCGATGAGGGATGGGGCGGGGCCAGATCGTAGAGTGAACTCCGCCCGGGGCGTGGCCAGGTGCAGCCTCTCCCAGCGACGGCAGGCGGAGTACAAACGGAGATTACGTAATGGTGCAAGGGGAGGAGCTCAGGAGAGATGGCGCTCTAGGATTACGTAAGAAAACGTGACCGAAGGCGGCAATTACGCGGGGGCGGGGGGGAAGGCGGAGCTCCAGCCAGCTCTGGGCGGGACTCGGCGGAGGAGAAGGCGGGCCGCCGGGCAGGACGTCTACCACGAGGTTGATTGGTTGGTTGGTTATGTGCCGTGGAGTCAGCAGCTTCCAAGCATGCTCCGTTGGGCCCGAGCTTGGAGGCTTCTCTTTGAGGGACGCGGCCCCGCAAGTCCCTGCTTCTCAAGGGTGCCTGTCACAACCAGGAGCGGAGGTGGAGCCGAAGCGAGGTCAGTCAAGGGCGCAGCGTGGGAGGCCGCTCTCGGCTCTTCCCTCTCAGCTCTTGCTCCTCCCCCTCTCACAAGCCTCTGGGACCCAGTTCCGTCCCGTAGGCCCCGCCCCGCTCCATCCCAGACCACACCCCAGATCGCTGCCGTACCTGCCTTGCATCCTTCCTTCACCCCTACCCCCTCCCGCCAGGCCGCTGCCACTTTCCTACACGCTCGTGGACGGGGAGGAGGCCCGTCCAGGCCTTGTCTTTCTCCATGGGCTCTTTGGCTGCAAAAACAACTTCAACTCCATCGCCAAGGCCCTAGCCCAACAGACAGGTCGGAAGGTGAGCGTCCAGGTGGGGCGGGGCTCCACCGGGGGCGGAGCATGGGCGGGGCCAGCCTCAGCCCTCCTTGCTGGGGAACAGCTGAAGAGTAACCAGAGTCAAGGAGGGGGTTTGTATCTGTCTGTGTAATGAAAGAAGTTGCCCTTCCAAGGATGGAGGATTTAATGAACCCACGTTCATTCACTCTCCTCCCATCCATTCAGCCCGTCATTCAATGGACATGTCTTAGGCCTGTAGGGAACTAATCCAACCTGCTCTCCACAAAGGAGGCAGCTCACCAGGGATGACCGGAAGCACTTGACCTCTCCAGGCAGGTCGTCCTCTGTCCTCTGTGCTGACAGTTGGACATTCTTGGAGTGTCTTTCCAGCCTTCTCTAGGTGGTCACCCAGCCAGATCTTCAGAGACCGTCACATCCCTTGAAGGGTCAGCTCTTCTCTGGCAGAGCAGCCCCAAGTTCCTCCCCTGGACCTCTTGTGTGTGGGAGCCGGGCCCTCTCTCACCATCCTTTCCCCCTGCTCACTACCTGTCCCTCAGGCTCCACATCTTGTAACCAGCAATTTCTGCCAGGTTCTGGTGGATGCCAGGAGTGCCCCCCTCTCTCCCTGCTCTGCAGGTGCTGACAGTGGATGCTCGGAACCATGGAGACAGCCCCCACAGCTCAGACATGAGCTACGAGGCCATGAGCCGGGACTTGCAGGATCTCCTGCCCCAGCTGGGTCTGGTGCCCTGTGTTCTCATTGGCCACAGCATGGGGGGCAAGACAGCCATGCTACTGGCACTACAGAGGGTGAGCTGTGCCATCTGAGCTCTCCTCCCACCCTATAGAAACCCTGCATTCCTCTCATGCAATCTGGGACTTGAGTGAGCCTTGGGGGGCCAAGGTGGAGAAGTGCATGCTCTGTACCCACCCCGGGACTGCTTCCCAGTTTGGTTCTCTCCCACAGCCAGACCTGGTGGAACGCCTGATCGCTGTGGACATCAGCCCAGTGCAGACCACCACTGTATCGAACTTCCCGTCCTACATGGCTGCCATGAAGGCTGTAGACATCCCAGATGAAGTACCCCGCTCCCGAGCCCGCAAGCTGGCTGATGAACAGCTCAGCTCTGTTGTCCAGGTGATGGCAGAGGGCTGGGACCTATCAAGGAGGAAATGGTGACCCCAGGCCTTATAGGAACCCCTCTCAACTGCCGGACCTCCACAGGACATGGCTGTGCGGCAGTTCCTGCTTACCAATCTGGTGGAAGTGAATGGGCGCTACGTGTGGAGGGTGAACTTGGACGCCTTGGCCCAACATGTGCAGGAGATCTTGGCCTTCCCACCTCGACAGGAATCCTACCCTGGGCCCACCCTCTTCCTCCTGGGGGGCAACTCCCAATACGTACAGTAAGCTAAGCAAGGTTGTCGGGGGATCATGCCTGCCTCACTCACTACCCCAACCTGGTGGTCCTGCCTGGGGGAGGGCTTGATCTGGGTCCTTAGGGGTTCTTGGCATGTTGACTTGTGAGGCTTCCCGTCTCTCCCCACTCTGACTTTACTTCTCTTTCTTCCTGTCTTCCCTCCTCGATGACCTGTACGGTGACAGCCCCAGCCACCACCCTGAGATGAGGCGGCTCTTCCCTCGGGCCCAGATGCAGACAGTGCTCAATGCCGGTCACTGGATCCACGCTGACTGCCCGCAGGACTTCATGACTGCTATCCGAGGCTTCCTGGCCTGAGAGCAAGACAGGACATGAACTCCCAGGCTTCAAGGTCCCGCATAGAGGGACTCAGGCGGGCACTGAGTGGGCACGAGAAGACAGAGGTGGATAGCTTCAAGCTTTAATGAATAAAGAGGCTGCTCCGAGGCCCTGGGGTCAGCTCTTCATCACCAGTGTTTCCACCAGCTCAGGGGGGATTGCACACAGGGCTTCCTGGCCACTCCAGGGTCTCCATGGGTTCTCAGAGAGCCCCGAGCCTCTCTCTGCAGCTGATTCTGAACCTGCTGCCCCACCAGCTGCCGCATGTCCTCCTGTTGGGGAGAGCAGGTCAGGGGCCGGACCTGGACCTTTACCCTGCGCCTCCCAGGCCCAGCTAGAACTTCCGCTCTACCTCCCAGGCTTCCACCTCCTGCCTCAGTCTCAGTTTCTCCTCCAGGACCTCCAGCAGCTGGGCCTCCGCAGCACGCAATTCGGCTTGACACTTGGCGAGCTCAGCCTCCAAGGCCCGCTTCCTGTGAATTGCAAGGAGGGTAGTCGGAGCCCCAGAAACCAGCAGGTCTGGTGGCTTCTCTCCCAGGAATGTCCAACTGCCCCTCCCTCCTCTAGTAGGCCAGGACCCTCAGGGTGGGACACCCCCTGCCCTCCAGCCCCTGCAGCTGCTGCCCCTCACTTGGCAATGGCTTCATCGCGCTCTTGGAGAACTTGGTCCAGCGAGGGCTCTGCCTGGGTGCCCCCCAGGGCTCTAGCCACTTGGAGTTCTGGGCTCTGTTTAGGGTGACAGAGAAGGGGACAGTGATCAGGGGCTTGCCTGAAGGAAGTACCCCACTCTAGGACCTTCCACCTTGACTTGGCCCAAACGCTGGGAGGGGAGGGGCGTGTACCCGCTCCCCGGTGTCCCCGGTTTCATGAACCTCTGGAGACTAGAGCAGGGGCCTTGAGTCATGCTGAGGGGGTCAGGTGTGGCCCCTGGCCTAAGAGCAAGCACAGTGGGTGAGTGTGGACCCTTAGGGAGGAAATGACTTGTTACCCAACCCTTAAGAGAGCAGACAAGGTGGTTCAGAAGGACACTTACCCTTCAAGGGCCTCGGACTGAGTGGTGACTTGGTGACTGGGACTCTTGAGCTGGGTGGGGCAGATGGAGTAAGCCCTTTGCCCTGACTTCCTGGCAGGGCACTTCCTGCTGAGCTCCACACCTGGACCCTGGAGCCCTCACCCGTCCCTGTTACCTACAGCCCTTCACCCAGAGAGGGTGCTTTGCCCACATCTTGAGGGGAGAAAGAGGTAGGGCCAGGACTTGGCCCCAGAATGCAGTTACTGAGAGACCTTAGTGCCCCAGACCATTCTGAAGGATTGGCATCTTGGTACCTTGAATGGCATCCTCCATACATAATACCTAACTCAAGTTTAACCCCATAACTAGCTGAAAACCAGAGGAAACAAAGGCTAAATAAATATCCCTTGCAGATTCTTTCTAATGTCTCAGGTATCCCTCCTCCCTAAAGCATTGGCTGTACTGCGTTCCCCGCCTTCTAAACTGAGCAACTGTGCTCAGCTGTGCCCTCCGGGGTCTCAGCCTCCCCCTCTCAGTGTGAGCCCCACCTTCCACAGCACATTGAACATCCATCTGTAAAGGTGTAAAAGAGAAGTTTCCCCAGGCAGAAACCTTTTCAGCAAAGTTGCATCATGGGAATATGGCCCTCAACTCAGCCCTAAGCAGTAAATCACTTCCTTTAAGCACCCCAATGTCCCCTCTGCAGAGTCTGCTTCTAACTGTCCAGTGGTCTCAGCCAGGTGCTTCTCCCACAGCAGAATGGGGTAGTGTCTTTAATGGTGAAGAGGTATGTTTGAGCTGTACCCCAAGTATTCTGACAGCCCCTTTTTGGTAGGGAGAGTCATTCATTTTCAGACCCTGCTTTGCACCATGTGTAAAGATGTCAGTTTGAGGACTAAGGAGTGCCTGACCCAAGCCATGGTATTTTCATATGATCATTTCAAATAACCTCATATGCGTGAGAAAGTTGGACAGTGAATAAGGAAGGCCGTAGAAGAATTGATTCATTTGAGTTAGGGTGTTGGAGGAGACAACTGAAAGTATCATGGACTGCCAGAAAAACAAACCAATATGTGTTGGAAGAAATACAGCCAAAATGTACTTGGAAGCCAGGATGGCCAGACTTCATCTCATAAAGGATATCATGTTTGGTAAGGTGGAGGGTTGGAGAAAAAGGAAGACCCCCAACAAGATGGATTGACACAGTGGCAGCATCAGTGGGCTCCACGGTAATCAGGATTGTGAGATTTGTGCAGGGACCAGACAGTGTTTCATTCTGTTGTACGTAGGGTTGCTATGAGTCGGTAGCAACTTGATGGCACCTAACAACTACTATATATATGTTGTTATGTGCCATGGAGTTGGTTCTGACTCATAGTGACCCTGTACAGGGTTTCCGAGGCTGTACATCTTAACGGGAGCAGAAAGCCTCATCTTTCTCCTGCGGAACGGCTGGTAGTTTCTAACTGCTGACCCTGAGGTTCGCAGCCCGATTCATAACCACTACGCTGTCAGAGCTACATATATATATATATATTGTTGTTGTTGTTAAGTGCGTTCGAGTCAAGTTGCGACCCATAGCGACCCTGTACAGAGTTTCCGAGGCTGTAAATCTTTATGGGAGCAGAACATCTCATCTTTCTCCCATGGAGCGGCTGGTAGTTTAAAACTGCTGACCTTGCGGTTTGCCGGGGTCTGGCCCCGACACAGTTGTCATGAGTGTTTGGTTCACGAGGAGGGGAGATCCAGCGGCGATAGGGATAGCGAAAAAATACACAGAGAAACAGAAGAAGGGAGACAATGAGGCACCCCAAAGCCAGGGTGGATACATCACTGGTGG